CTTCTCTCCTCTCTAGCATGTTACAGTGGAGGGTCTGTGTTTTTCGCTGGCAGAGTGACTGCCGAGATGCAAGCTTTTAGCCCGATGCAGTGGTAAGAGTGTTGAACTACACTCGCCACTCTCCTCTCCTGGGGTGGATGCTTCTAGAACTTCTCTAAATCCTCTGTCCAGTGGACCTCAGCCCTGCTCTTTGGTATGAGAACACAAGGAGTGAAAGCCAACTAACTTAGCCCAGATTTCTAGATTTGGGTTTTTTTTCTTATCCTACACATAAAAGACTTCTTTCCAATACAAATACTACATTATTCCTTTTTCTTTTATAAAGTTGGGTTTTTTTAAAAAAAAAAAACAACAATACCCCTATTAGAGATGTTCTAGGAAGCGTCGCTCAAAGAGGAAGTCTTGTTTTACTCTGGCATACCACTAGTTACCATTTTTAAACTGGTATTAAATTGTATATTTAAACTCTATTTGTAACCGAAAGGTGGATTTTAATGGATTGCCTGACATCCTGCCGTTTGTACCTGTATCAACATTGCTGTGTAAAAAATTCTGTATCAGAATAATGACAGTACTGTATATCATTTGATTTTATTTTAATATTATTCCTTATTTTTTGTCACGGTCGTCGTTGTCAGTTTTTATTACAAGCAGCTCTCCATACAGGCCACACCCTAACGTGGGTAAAGACTCCAGGTTGGTGAAACAGCTAACCGATGCACATTTTCATTTTGCATACAGGAAAGTTCTGTTTTGTATGGATTTTAAGGTCGTACAAACAATAAACAGTGCGAGGTGCTGGAGCACGAAGGAAATGACACGGCACCCCAAAACTGGTTGTCACGAGGGATGGACTTGTGGGAACTCACTGCATTGGTTCCGCAGAGGGTGAAGGATTATGTCTCGTGGGTGGCCAGGCAGGCTGCTGGCCTGTCCGGTCCAGCCATGCAGTGACGCCAATGTGGCTGGCCTTGGAAAACCCACCAAGTATTGTAACTGGATTCAACATCACAAATAAACAACTCGTGAAATGCGTTTAACTGACTCAACTTACCCATGCCAACCTACCAACCATTAAAAAAAAAAAAGAAAATTGTTCTTTTGTACTTATTTACTCACAGGGCTTACAATGGCACCTTGCATATAACTTTACCCTTGGGCTATACACGTCCCGTAAATGTATGGGATTTTGCTGTACTAATTACATACCTGGTCACCAGAAGTTATTTTTGGCTCAGTTTAGTTGAAACATTCCTCGGTGAGTTTTTTGAAAAAAAAAAAATTAGACTTCGACAAGTGGAATCATGGGTCAAGAAACAGGCACTTTGGCAATGTCGCTAAATTTGTTTCTGTATAAAGTTTGAGAACTCTTTTTCGGAAGTGGTGAAAGCTTAATTAGGGCCATCATTCATTTTCACCTAAGTTAGAAGACATAACTGACGCTTGTACAATTTTGCTTTTGCATGTACCATATTACATATCATAACCCAGTTAAAGGTATACCTATTGCTACCGCTACAGGAGTGGGACTGCATGTACACAGTCAAGCAAATGAATGTGAAGTTTGTGTAGAAAATGAAGAACTCTACCTACTGACTCACTACCAATCAAAAAAAAAGTAGAACTTCGTCATTTGCTCCCTTTCCCTTGGTTATTATTTTTTATTATTTTTAGCGTACAGTTCTATTTTGTAATTGTTTTTGACTTGTTACCAAAATTAACACCTTTCACATCATTGTTTTTAAAAACTTGTAATCATGTCCTTGGAGATTCTTCGACGCCATTTTATAGCAGAGCATACCAAGTCTCGTCCTGCAAAGGCTCTGGTTTCTTCCAGTTTTGAGGGTGGTCTCACGCAGAAGTTTCTAGACCAGAATTTCACTGCAAGGTGAGAAAGCAAGGTGGGAATTTACACAAGATAAGCTGAGTCAACAGCTTATGCTGATGACAGAATTGTGAAGGAATTTCATCCATTCTAAGGTGGAAATAGATCTTATTTTGACCAAACCTCAGGACCCAACTCAAGTGGACCTTTGGATTTCTTTGCAAACATCGACCTCCATGAAAACTGTCATATCTGACTTTCTTTATCCTTTTAGCAAAAATTTTTTTTTTTTTGGCATAGAAAAGTTTATGCAAACTACTTCCTTACAAACCTCCTCTCTCACAGAGAACCTTCGTCCTGCCCAGCTTCTCCAAGTAGTTGTTTTGTTAGAGCCTTATTAAGCCAGCCCAGTGGTAGATGGAATGCCTAAACCAATTTTCCTCTTCATTGGTTTAATATCAGAAATCTCACCCTACTTTTCTAGCTTCATTTTTTTTTTAGCAAATTAAAGTTGAGGGCCATTTTCATTTTAAAAACAGGACATTTTTGGCATTCAGTGAGGAGCACTGTAAAAATTCATTGGAACCTTTTATGATCTTTGTCTCCACATTGCCGTGTACTTCAGATATTACCCTCAGAATTAACAATTCCTTGCATTCTCTGCTGTCTCCCACTAATTTGTTGATGCCCAGTACTCCCTTTCGCATTAAAGAGAACTGTATTCTTGCAGTGTATTCCAAAATTTTAACTGACAAATAAAATTGTATATATTTATAGCGTACCACATGTCTTGAAATATGTATACTTGTGGAATGGCTAAGTTGAGCTGACTAACGTACTTTAACCTCACATACTCATAATTTTCTGTAGCAAGAACACTTAAAACTCTCTCAGTGATTTTCAAGTGTATAATATTAACTATAGCCACCATGTATGACAGACCTCCGGAATTTTTTAATGTATTCTAAAGATTAAAATCTTTAATGACATGTTCTTTAAAAAACTTCATTACCCCACCTATATATATCATATATTATTATTATTGTAGGTATGTGTGTGTGTATATATATATATATGGGTAGGAGTAATAAAGTTTTTTTGGGAGTAATAAAGATATATATATCTTCAGGAGGATTACTTGAGTGCCACTGTGCCTTAGCCTGAGCGACAGAGCAAGACCCTGTCTCTTTAAAAAACTAAATTAAATACAAATCTATTCATGCGTGGATTATACAGGCAAGGATAAATCTACCCATACAAATTCTACCCATATATATATATATATATGTTTGTGTATTGATATATACACACACATAATATATATATATATATATATACACACACACACATACCTACATATATATATATGGGGGTTATATATATAGGTGGGGGTAATGAAGTTTATTTAAAGAACATGTCATTAAAGATTTTAATCTTTAGAATACATTAAAAAATTCTGGAGGTCTGTCATACATGGTGGCTATAGTTAATATTATACACTTGAAAATCACTGAGAGAGTTTTAAGTGTTCTTGCTACAGAAAATTATGAGTATGTGAGGTTAAACGTACATTAGTCAGCTCAACTTAGCCATTCCACAATGTATACATATTTCAAGACATGTGGTATGCTATAAATATATACAATTTTTATTTGTCAGTTAAAATTTTGGAATACACTGCAAGGAATACAGTTCTCTTTAATGCGAAAGGGAGTACTGGGCATCAACAAATTAGTGGGAGACAGCAGAGAATGCAAGGAATTGTTAATTCTGAGGGTAATATCTGAAGTACACGGCAATGTGGAGACAAAGATCATAAAAGGTTCCCAATGAATTTTTACAGTGCTCCTCACTGAATGCCAAAAATGTCCTGTTTTTAAAATGAAAATGGCCCTCAACTTTAATTTGCTAAAAAAAAAAAATGAAGCCAGAAAAGAGTAGGGTGAGATTTCTGATATTAAAACCAATGAAGAGGAAAATTGGTTTAGGCATTCCATCTACCACTGGGCTGGCTTAATAAGGCTCTAACAAAAGAACTACTTGGAGAAGCTGGGCAGGATGAAGGTTCTCTGTGAGAGAGGAGGGTTTGTAAGGAAGTAGTTTTGGCATAAACTTTTCTATGCCAAAAAAAAAAAAATGTTTTTGCTAAAAGGATAAAGAAAGTCAGATGCAACAGTTTTCACGGAGGTCGATGTTTGCAAAGAAATCCAAAGGTCCACTTGAGTTTGGTCCTGAGGTTTGGTCAAAATAAGATCTATTTCCACCTTAGAATGGATGAAATTCCTTCACAATTCTGTCATCAGCATAAGCTGTTGACTCAGCTTATCTTGTGTAAATTCCCACCTTGCTTTCTCACCTTGCAGAAATTCTGGTCTAGGAACTTCTGCGTGAGACCACCCTCAAAACTGGAAGAAACGGCACCCAGAGCCTTTGCAGGACGAGACTTGGTATGCTCTGCATAAAACGGTGTCGAAGAATCTCCAAGGAGCATGATTACAAGTTTTTAACAACAATGATGTGAAAGGTGTTAATTTTGGTAACAAGTCAAAAACAATTACAAAATAGAACTGTACGCTAAAAATAATAAAAAATAATAACCAAGGGGAAAGGGAACAAATGACGAAGTTCTACTTCTTTTTTTTGGATTGGTAGTGAGTCAGTGGGTAGAGTTCTTCATTTTCTACACAAACTTCACATTCATTTGCTTGACTGTGTACATGCAGTCCACTCCTGTAGGCGTAGCAATAGGTATACCTTTAACTGGGTTATGTATATGTAATATGGTACATGCAAAAGCAAAATTGCACAAGCGTCAGTTATGTCTTCTAACTTAGGTGAAAATGAATGATGGCCCTAATTAAGCTTTCACCACTTCCGAAAAAGGATGTCTCAAACATTATACAGAAACAAATTTAGCAGCATTGCCAAAGTGCCTGTTTCTTGACCCATGATTCCACTTGTCGAAGTCTAATTTTTTTTTTTTCTTCAAAAAACTCACCGAGGAATGTTTCAACTAAACTGAGCCAAAAATAACTTCTTGGTGACCAGGTATGGTAATTAGTACAGCAAAATCCCCATACATTTATGGGACGTGTTATAGCCCAAGGGGTAAAGTTATATGCAAGGTGCCATTGTAAGCCCTGTGAGTAAATAAGTACAAAAAGAACAATTTTTCTTTTTTTTTTTTTTAATGGTTGGTAGGTTGGCATGGGTAAGTTGAGTCAGTTAAACGCATTTCACGAGTTGTTTATTTGTGATGTTGAACCCAGTTACAATACTTGGTGGGTTTTCCAAGGCCAGCCCACATTGGCGTCACTGCATGGCTGGGACCGGACAGGCCAGCAGCCTGCCTGGCCACCCACGAGACATAATCCTTCACCCTCTGCGGAACCAATGCAGTGAGTTCCCACAAGTCCATCCCTCGTGACAACCAGTTTTGGGGTGCCGTGTCATTTTCTTTCGTGCTCCAGCACCTCGCACTGTTTATTGTTTGTACAACCTTAAAAATCCATACAAAACAGAACTTTCCTGTATGCAAAATGAAACGTCGGTTAGAGCTGTTTCACCAACCCTGGAGTCTTTACCCACGATAGGGTGCGGCCTGTATGGAGAGCTGCTTGTAATAAAAACTGACAACGACGATCGTGACAAAAAATAAGGATATAATATTAAAATAAAATCAAATGATGTACAGTACTGTCATTATTCTGATACAGAATTTTTTACACAGCAATGTTGATACAGGTACAAACGGCAGGATGTCAGACAATCCATTAAAATCCACCTTTCGGTTACAAATAGAGTTTAAATTACAATTTAATACCAGTTTAAAAATGGTAACTAGTGGTATGCCAGAGTAAAACCAAGACTTCCTCTTTGAGCGACGCTTCCTAGAACATCTCTAACTAGGGGTATTGTTGTTGTTTTTTTTTTAAAAAAAACCCCAACTTTATAAAAAGAAAAAGGAATAAATGTAGTATTTGTATTGGAAAAGAAGTCTTTTATGTGTAGGATAAGAAAAAAACCCCAAATCTAGAAATCTGGGCTAAGTTAGTTTGGCTTTCCACTCCTTGTGTTCTCATACCAAAGAGCAGGGCTGAGGTCCACTGGACAGAGGAGTTTAGAGACGTTCTAGAAGCATCCACCCCAGGAGAGGCGAGTGGCGAGTGTAGTTCAACACTCTTACCACTGCATCGGGCTAAAAGCTTGCATCTCGGCAGTCATTCTGCCAGTGAAAAACACAGACCCTCCACTGTAACATTCTAGAGAAGAGAGAAGGGAAAGGGAGAAGAAAAAAATGAGGGCCTTAATATCCTTCGAGGAGTAGGAGGAAGACACCAAAGGGTGTGTGTGTACCCGTGGTGGGGCACAGAAGGGGAGGTGAGAAAAAAAAATCTTTCTGTAACAAAATCCCAAATTCTTACATTCCTCATTTTTGTCAAAATGGGAAAGTTATTGACATTAAAAAAAAGCCAAACCAAACCAAGACAGAAACAGGGAAATGAGAACCAGTTCCATAATGGCTTACACTTTATATTTCTATCCAAAATTCCCTTGCAGTAAAAAAATAAAACAAAACGAAAACAAAAACCCGTCATTTAAAAATCAAAGGTAAAAATGTTACTTAGAAAGTTGAGGAAGCAAGAGCATTTCTCTCTGGCATGGTTTTTTGTTTGGCACAATCACAAGTAAGACTTTAACAGACATCGTGTGGCTATTCACATTGAAGTTTCTACCCTAAAGTGATTACTTTCGGGCTAAACAAATGAATCGGTTAAATGAAGTCCGTAAACAGGCCAAGCCTGGCAGACATGGACAAGTGTGATGCATTCTCCGCCCAAAAAATGGAACCTAAACAAAAAAAGAAGACTGAGTCAGAGCAGGAAATGTTTCAAGACAAAACTAAACGATTCTTGAGATCCATCTTTGAATAACAATAACTAGTGTTTATTAAGAGTTAACTACCCATTAGGCAATATGCTCAGCACTTCTCATGTCATATTATCCTTTCCCAACCTTAGAACCACGTTGGAAAGATGGCAAACGTTTAAATCATGCCCATTCTACAGGTGAGGGAGTGAGGCACACAGAGAGTAGCAAATTGTTCAAGGTCGTGTTATCTAAAACTTGGCGCTTGGCTCCCAGTTGGACCAAAGAGACCAAGGTCTTAGTCATCAAGCTATACTACCTTTTACTTTTCCTCGTTTTCTTTCTTTTTACAGGGTTCTGCTATTGGAACTGCTTAACAACGTGGCGCCGTAGGCATGACCATATCTATGTAATGAGCAAACATAAACTCACAAGCAATAAGCAATGCATACGATTCGTGCATGTGAGCACAGATGCCCAGAGCCAAAACGCTGGGGAAAAATCTAAAAAGGAACAGAGGAAAAATGAGGGAAGGAGGCGAGCTCGGTTTGCAGAAATGGCCTAGGCAGACCCAGCAGGGAAGAGAGTCACACTAAAGAGCCCAGCCCACTGTCACCAGCGACGCTGGGTTGAGGAGTTGCTGACCAGCGGCTAGCGTAATGGCAAGTGGAGCACTCTCAAGACCTGGGTGTTTTCCAGAAGGAAAGAGAGCAAAAATTGCTTTCTATCCCCCTAAGAGGGGTATCTTCCTGAGCATCCGCCTGCCTTGCAAGTTACATGGAGAAATCTTTAACCCCAGGCCTGGCGACATGCGGTAGCCAGTGACACCGGATGATGGCGAATGACTGATTCAGACTAACGTGAGAGAGGCAAGCCGTTACAGACCCATGCCTCTTGTGGGGATTCTTGTATGGCGGAGAACGTGTGCTTCCCGCTTGCAAACTCACACGCTTTGTTCGACGTCATTCTAGTGCATTTTCTGTGCAACATGGCCCAAAGACGGTCCCACACCAACGACCTGTCCTTCCAAGAAAATCTGAGTTCACCTTCCAGATGCCTTCAAATACATTTCTTTATATATATATACATATCTTTATATATATATATAATTATATATGTTATATATATTATATATATATATATATATTATATATATAATATATATTATATATAATATATTATATATATATATATTTTTTTAAGCCCATCTCTAGACAGTGGCAGAACCATTCTAACCTTAGTTCGGGGTTGAACTGGACCCAACTCCAGGGCGGCCCAACAACGTAAAGGCTAATTAATTATTCCGGGTCTATCTTTCGGCAGTATCACGCCCACATTCTTCTTACCTCCTCCTTTTTCCTTTTCCTTGTCTTCCTCTTTCTTCTTTCCTGCCTTCCCTTTCCAAAATGGTTCTGGAAGGGCCAGGGAGATGACTGAGATCAATAAATACAAAGGGCAGAAAGAGCAGCAATAGGGGGCAGGGTGTGTGTGTGTGTGTGTGTGTGTGTGTGTGTGTGTGTGTGTGTTGGACAGGCAGCGTGACACACAGCCCAGCCACCCCAGAGCCTCTGCCTCTGTGACACGTCGCGACTTCCCGGGTTCTAACGACCGTGCCCGCAAACAGGCGCGCCGGCCCTCGGCTGACCGCACACCTGGGCTCAGAATGGTTCTGTCACTGTGTGAGTGAGAGGGGGACGCTGAGGGCTGGCTCCTTGGCTGCCACCAGGGGTGCATCAGAGGAGGTGGGTGCAGCTGGCTGGGCCCAGGCAATTATAAGGGGATAGAGTCAGAAGTGACAGTCGGTGACCCCGATAACCCGTTCTGACCCTCAGAACTTGGAGAGGTTCCTTCTCACCACGCCCGGCGCTACTGCACGGACCAGCGGTTCTCACCCGGGGGGACTCTGCATGCAGGGGACATCTGGCCATGTCCGGAGACATTTTCTGGTGGTCCAACTGGGGGAGCGGGGAGGGGTTTCCAGGCCTCCAGCGGGTCAGGGCCAGGGGTGCTGCCAAATGCCCTACGATGTAGGGGACAGCCCCTCTGCGAATGAGAATTACCTGGCCCCAAAACGTCAGCAGTGCCAAGGTTGAGAAAGACTGTCACAGGCACCGAGCTCCAAGGAAAAGGAGCCCCGAGGAAATAAAGCACACCTTCGACAAGCGTGACAAACCATCACAGACGGGAGCCACCAAGGGCGTTTCTTCTATCCACTCATTCAACAGGTATTTGCTGGGTGTCACCTACACACACATCAGGCCCTACTTGAGGTGCTGAGGGTGCAGCGAGGGACAGAACAGGGAAGGCCCTTGCTTTGTCCCCAGGGAGCTCACATTCTAATGACGAAGGACAGGGAACCAATGAGCGAGCGCTAACTGCGCCTAAGTGCCCTCACGGTGCCCCACGGTTTTGTGCTTTCTGCAGGGTGACGCTGTGATCACGCTTTGGCCCAGGGGACCTCAAACATTTTTAAGCAGGGGGCCGGCTCACTGTCCCCCAGGCCGTTGGAGAGTGCGCACTGTGGGCCGGGGACCAGTCGGCTGCAAAGCAGGACAGGCAGCGGTGACAAAAACACCGGGCGGCGGGCCGGATAAATGTCCTCGGCGGGCCGCATGTGGCCCACGGGCCACAGTTCGAGGACGCCTGCTGTGGCCTGTCGCCTGGGGCTGCCAGAGCCTCGAAAGCAGCAGCAGGAAAAGAACCCAGACTGCTGCCACCGGTGCCGTGGGGTACGAGTGTCACCCCAAGCCTGCATGCCCGATTTTCTGCCCTGTTCTGAGACAAGCTAAGGGGCTTCCTCTCCAGGAAAAGTGACACGTCCAGCCGAGGTCACCCAGCTAGAAGGCAAAAGTGCTGGCAGTCAAGCCCGGCCCTGTTCCCTCCTGGATTTTGTTCTCTTTGTGCCGCCATGCCCAGACTCCAGGCTCTTTGAGGAGGGGACTGTGCCCGTTTTATGTGCGAGCACGTGGCCCCTGGCCTGGCACACAGAAGGCGCTCAAGAAAATATCTGCTCGATGCCTGTCACCTGTCGCCCCGTCCCTCCCCCTGCACAGACTGTCCCGGAGGCCCGTGGACCACCGGACGACCATCTCCGGTCCCGAGGCTTCCCCTCCCCCTGGCACGGAGGAGGCCCAGGGCCACCAAACTCAGAGAGGGGACACAGTTGGATGTGCCGTGACCCCCAAAGAGGCCTCGCTCGCCCCTGGCTCAGGCCGGCCACTCTCGGGCCCAGGAGGGCCTGGCAACGTGGGCGCAAGGCCACCTGCTCTCGAGAAACCTTTCGAAGTTCTCGTATCCCTTTTCTTATCGAGGGCGGCAGGACGGTACAGACACCCATCCGGATCAGCCTCGGCCACCTTAAGACAGTGATCAGACTGGGCCGGGGGTCCCTGAGTCCCTGGGTGCCCTTTTCTCATCCATTTCTTCATGCTCCGGTTCGTGTCTCTCTTTCCAGACTCCGCCTGCACCGGCGAATGGCAATGTCCCTCCTCCTGCCACTCCTGTGAGCCCCCAGGGACGAAAACCGAGATGTCTGACGTCACGCACTCCGTTGATGCTGGCCGGGTCCTCGACCGGCCCGCGCACTCCTGCCATCTAATCGCACCGTGTGACAGAGCCAGCAGGTGTCGCCTGGGCACGAACCCACCAGGGAGTGCTCACGGAGGATGCATATTGGAACCATTCGGCCCACCCTTGACGGTTTACTTAAGAATCAAGCCAAGTACTCAAGCCAAAGTTTCTAATAGCCTGGAATTCCAAACAGCAAATTCTAGAAGTTACCACGGCAGAACGTCCAGCACTCTTGAAAAAAAAAAAAAAACAATTCTTACCCGTTTGCAGCACTTTTAAAGAGAAAATAGCACTCATGAAAGGGCCGTGTGGGGGACACTTGTAGCGATGGAAATCTTCTGTATCCCCACTGTGTTGACGTCAGTATCTTGCCTGCGCTATTATTGTGCTATAGTCATGCAAGATGTCGCCGTAGGGAGAAACCGGGCAAAATGCATGGAGTCCCAAAGTTGAGAAAACTTGCATTAGACTCAAGCATATTTATGTCTTGTGAGTCTCTTTGCCAATTCGAACCTGTAACCACGGCTATCACGTTATGCCAAGAAATCAATGTAGATAGTGGCTCTTGATATTATGATAGGGAAGATGAGGAAGTTGGCATATTTTGCTTTCTTCTATCCATCTTTCACTAATTCTTTTTTAGTTATATGAGTTATATGTTAGTATTTTAAGAAATATTTTAAATCTAAAAAATTAAAAATTTAAAAAATTTTAAATTAAAAAAATTAACTAATTTAAAAAATTTTTATATTAAATATAAAATTTTTTATATTATTTTAATATTATATATATATAATATGTAACATAACATATAATATATATATATTATTATATTATATTATTTATATATTATTTTTAAAAATTTTAATTTCATATTCTGAAATTATAATTGTTTAAAATGTTTTATCACCAATAATCTTCAATAGCTTTTTAAAAACAAACAAGATCTGGGTTTTGTTTTTTGTTTTTTTTAAGAGACAGGTTCTCGATCTGTTGCCCAGGCTGAAGTGCAGTGGTGTAATCATATCTCACTGTAGCCTGGAACTCTTGGGCTCAAATGATCCTCTTGCCTCAACCTCCCTAGTAGCTAGAACTACAGGTACACACCACTGTGCCTGGCTAATGTTTTTAATTTTTTGTAGAAATGGGATCTGACTATGTTGCCCAGGCTGGTCTCAAACTCCCAGGTCCAAGCGATCCTCCTACCTCGGCCTCCCAAAGTGCTAGGATTACAGGCATGAGCCACCATGCCTGGCCACGACTCAGGTTTTATTTGATTTTTTTTTTTTTTACTTCAGAAAAGAAAAATGTATTGGTCAAGTTTTAAAGTTAAAACAAGAAAAGAAAATTAGTGCTAAAAATGTTTACATAAAAAGTGGAACAAAATTTACAAACAAGATTTTTTGGAAGAAACACAGTTGTTTAAACTGAAAATATTTAGGGCTGGGTACAGTGGCTCATGCCTGTAGTCCTAGCAGTTTGGGAGGCCGAGACAAGGGTATTGCTTGAGGCCTGGAGTTTGAGGGCATCCTGGCCACCACAGCAAGATCCCATCTCTACAAAAAATAGAAAAATTAGCTGGGCATGGTAGCATGTGCCTATAGATCCAGCTATTCAGGAGGCTGAGGCAGAAGTAATGCTTGAGTCCGGGAGCTCAAGGTTGCAGTGAGCGATGGTGACGCCACTGTATTCTAGCCTGGCCAACAGAGAGAGACTCTGCTTTCGAAAAGAAAGAAAAAGAAAAAAATTCATGAAATAATAAGCAATAAAAATTAAAGTATTAATCACATAATTATAAGCTTCCAAAGCCAAGCATTAAGCAAAATGAGATGCAAATGGCCAATCTTCTATATAAAGTTCGAAAAGGATAGGTATTAGTAGAAATTAAAATAGAGATTTTCATTAAGCAGAAAGCTTTTCCTGGAGACATGATTTGGCAAGTCATTCTTAATTATTAAAAATTAATTATTAAAAATGGATACCTGCTAAAACTATTATTTGCTTAAAAATGTGTTTAGAAAATATGTATCTTATTCTTCCTAGCTGGAGTTATATATTTTATTCTATTTTAAAATTATCAAATATAAAGTTAAAAACCGTACAATCATGAAACAAGCCTACCAGTGACCATAAACTCTTCAAGTTAATTGATGTATCTGAAATAAAACACTAAACTAAACTCATTGGCTATCAATTCCTACCTATAGTTCTCACTATCATTCATCAAAAACTGTTCACTTTACCCAAAAAAAAAACAGATTTCCGTGGCTAATGATGACTAAGCCAAAACAAAATGGGAAAAGAATTTTCTATTCGATGTCTACATTTTCACTGTCTACTAATGAGCCATTAAACTTCTGAATACTGATACTACTGAACCGAACAGAACTAAACTTCTGAGCTGAATACTACTCATAATGTTCACAAGAATATATTTGTGAGAGACTTTTTTTTTTGAGTTGTTTTGAAGAGATATTTGAGAGATATTCTAGAAGAAACTAGATTCTTTCCAGGATAGGTTAATTTCATCTGAAATAAGTAACAACTCTCAGACCTACTGTTAAAATAGGTTATCAAATAACCTTTGAAAACACATCTTATTACAGAAAAGCAACCAACACGAAAAGCTGTAAAATCAAGTTCCAGAAATATATTTCAAGGAGGCATCTGAATGGAGAAAAGTCAAAATTTCACATAAAACCTTATAAAAAAAGATAAATACTTCCATTCTTTTATCACTTAATTTTACCCTGAAAACCATAATCTATTATTTAAAGATTTCATTGTTAGACCCACGATAAAAATAAAGCCCATTTACACCTGATTCGTGTACTTCAAAAAAAATAAAAATAAAAAAAATAAAGCCCATAGAGATATACCTGGGTCTCTGAGAGAAGCCAGATTTTGTTTACTTTCAGAACTGACGTTGCATTCAACCTGAACTTGAAGTTATCTAGGAACCAGGGGGGAAAAACAAAATTTGGTTCCCTTTTTAAATATCTCAAACTTGGAAAACTCGTCAAAGCTATTGTGTGACACAGATTCCCGGTCTGAACTGTTATTACTCATTCAGTCAACATTTTGTCAATGTTATCCACACCAACCAGTTTTGGTTAATGGGACTAAAAATAAAAAGGTGAGAATTAAACACAGGGACTGCTTTCGTGGAGGCAGAAGAACGTAGTCATTAAGACCACATACATAACGGGGTGTCAGACAGAAGTGAAGTTTGGTGTCTGCTGTCTGACCTTCGACCTGTGCTGCTTCAACGAGTGACTGAAGTCCTCGGGGACTTAATGTTGTATATGCAACATGACAAAGTGAACCTACCTCACAGGCTCGGTGTGAGTGGTAAATAAGAAATACGTGCATAACATTTAAATACAGAGCACCTGGTGCACATCCTACCATTTAACACCTGGCGACTATTATTCTTATTGACACAAGCACAGTTCCACAGACTGTACCGCTCTATCTTTGCTGTTTTAGCAAACAGGCTGCGTGATTGATTCTAGCATTTGGGGCACGTGTATGTATGCTAACGCCATATACAAACAGCATCATCCTCAAAGGAGGAGGTTAGGAGGAAACTTTTCAGAGGCAATGACTTAAATGTACAAAATGTGACTCACATTTCAATAAGGGTGATGATAAAACTGAGCTCAATGCCAAAGGTGGCTGGCTGGGCAAGGGCAACTTCCTTTGGGGGGCTTGGCATCGAGACACATGACTAACAGCAGTTGAAAACCTTTTTCTGTCTTAAAATGTCCAAGAAAAAATGGTGCATATCATGTTTTAAAATGATACTTCAAGACCAGGCATGGAGGTTCACTCCAATAATCCTAGTACTTTAGGAGGCTGAGGCAGGAGGATTGCTTGAGGCCAGGAGTTCAAGACCAGCCTGGGCAACATAGCAAGACCCCGTCTCTATAAAAAAATAATAGTTAAAAAATAATTGTCTGGGCATGGTGCTATATGCCTGTAGTCCTGGCTACTCAGGAGGGAGGCTGAGGCAGAAGGATCACTTGAGCTCAGGAGTTTGAGGTTGCAGTGAGCTATGACAACACCACTGCACTCTAGCCTGAGCAACAAAGTGAGACCCTGTCTCAAAAACAAAGCAAAGCAAAACAAAACAAAAGACAGCACAGTCTTGTGTGGCAAAACCATGAAGCGGAATGGTTTAAACGTAACAGGAAGCATTTCACAAGGCAACCACAGGAAAGCCAAAAGCAAACTCAGTCTGCAGATGGACCCAAACAACTGGAACCCATATTAGCTCATGGAGCTAACCCTAACGCAATGGGCCACAATCTCCTTCATTCTGTTCGCTCCAAGAAGGTAAAAAATGTGAACTGTGATCTGGGACTTCCGAGTACAGGAAAGAGGTTCGGCTCTATTCCAGTTTTAAAACCCTAAATCACATGCGAAAAAATAAGGTCGAACATAGAATTCAGTTTGCTTTGGAAATATTTGACCTGTTTTAAAATGAGCATATGCAATGCGTATTCGCTATTGACTGAATTCTGCCTCCAACAAGCTACCTGGCCTAGGCCTGGGATTTCTCTCAATGCCTCTGGACTACACTTTACTCATGGCTGAAATGAGGGGGGGGGGAATAGAGCAAGGCCTGCAAGCTAGCATTCCTGGGGGATTCTGTTGAGACTCTTCTCTGTTGCAAAAGTTTTCCATCTGACCGAGGCGTTGGTGGCATGGTGGTTAGCATGGCTGCCTTCCAAAAGTTTGCAAATGTGAAGTGCAAGAGTTCTCCAGCTGCACACACTTCTTTGCTCCTTTCTGTCTCCCACCTACCTGCTTCCAGATGGAACACGAGCCTGCCCCCTGCCCGACCCCTGCAGGCAGGTGAGTATGCCACCCTTGGGGACACAACCTCTAAAGCCCCATCCAACCCTGCAACCCGACAACTTTGCAAAAGTGCTGTTTAGGCCACTGTGATATTTAGCTGCCAGATAATAAAGCAAATTAGAAAATTAAGTATCGTGAATCTCCAAGCTTGTGAACAATGTATCCTGTAGGTATAGAGTCTAAACACAGAACTTTCAGATTAGATACAGGTGTAACGGTGTGATTGACCATTTTCTGAAAAGACAAAAGCTAAAGCTTAAGTTCTTCTGCTTTATCAGGAGATCTAACGTTAAAAGTCTTTTCTTTTTCTTTTCTTTTTTTTTTTTTGAGACAGAGTCTCGCTTTGTCGCCCAGGCTAGAGTGAGTGCCATGGCGTCAGCCTCGCTCACAGCAACCTCAGACTCCTGGGCTCAAGCGATCCTCCTGCCTCAGCCTCCCGAGTAGCTGGGACTACAGGCATGCGCCACCATACTCGGCTAATTTTTTCTATATATATATTAGTTGGCCAATTAATTTCTTTCTAATTTATAGTAGAGACGGGGTCTCGCTCTTGCTCAGGCTGGTTTCGAACTCCTGACCTCGAGCAATCCGCCCGCCTCGGCCTCCCAGAGTGCTAGGATTACAGGCGTGAGCCACCGCGCCCGGCCTAAAAGTCTTTTCGAGGACTTCCATACTCTAATTTCTGCCGAGAAGCATGCCAGAACATAATATATATTTTTGTCCTAAATAATTTTTAAACGGATTCGCGTTAGAAGACATTACTTCGATAATATGTTTCTAATGCCAGGAGAGCAGTGATATGAAAATGATCCCTTGCATAAGGATGGTAGAGGAAGCAATTCTTTGCAATGGAAGGGGAGAGAAGGCAGGGGGTGGTTTTTCCACTGTCCTCTTTCCCCGACTTCCAATTTCAAGCATGTGACTGGGGGGTCTTCATGTCATATGGGCTTTGCTTGGAGTTCAGTTATTGCAACAGGAGAGAAACACCACGAACACGAACACGTATACTAACTTTACGAGTCAGGGGATGGCAGGTGTCTCCCAGTTTGCCCATGGGTGTGCAAATCCTTATGCTCTTAACCCAGATGCTAACAGCACAGCACATGCCTCTGCCACATTGGGGGTCCTTGTCGCAGGCCTGAAACGTAACAAACAAACAGATAAATGCAGGTAGCGGGAAAGACTCGGGCGAAGGACCCTGATCTGAAATTAGCAGTGAAAATGCTCTTCAAATATCCAAACGCTATGACTTTTAATAATCGCACAGATAGAAAAGAACTATAATATCCATTTGTTTGCACAAATCTATAATAAAATCTGATCAGATTTTTCCAGTTTTTCAAAACTGAATGAAATAATAGCCCCCAGATAATGAAAATCTCAAATAAACATGAGATTTTTTAAGAAAACAAAATCAGCTCTCTTTTTCTAGTGCTTTGTGGCTGAATTGGCTTCGAACTTGAAGAATAAGTATATTAGTCTTACACTACACATAGCCATTAGGAACTACATAAATTGACTCACAAGATTTTATGACTATTAACTGCAGAATACATTGGGCACAGTTTAAAAAAGAGATTTAAATGGTCTCTAAATCTGGCATGAAACACTCTAGACTCATAAAGGCACTGATGTAAATTTTAAAAGTGCCCATTTTCCCTTTCTAACATTTGCATTTTGGTTCATGAGACTTGATGTTTCTCACAACACTGATTTGATTTTCACCATTTCCTCTTTAAAAAAAAATCTCATAGATTAAGAATGGACAGACCAAGACTTTGGCCTTTGGTATGTTACTCTTTTTTCAGGTAAAGAAGCTGCAAAGAGGATATTATTGGCTTAGGATATAGATATGTGTACATTACCAAATCAGGTGAACTATCCTATAAAATACATCGGATTAAGAAATGAAGGTGACAGGTGCAATGATCAACAGCAATTACTCAAGGCACCTGCTTCCAAATATAAAATTTGTAAATATCTATAATTAAAGAATCGACTATACAGGAATTTCCATACTCTACTAAATAGAAATAAATAATGAAGTCTAAATTTATTTGCATGAAAATGGATCTAAAGAACTATCATTCTTTCCCAGAATCAACGAAAAGTAGAATGCTTTGTTGTCACACTATGCAGTAATCTGTTTTGCTAGCGATAAGCTAAAAACATCCTGTATATATATGTAAGAAACTAAAAAGTCTGTCTTTCAGGCACAAATGTACACTTATTGGAAAAAACTAAAACAGTCTTTCAAAGTTCTCAGTTTTGGGGAGCATCCATAACTTTCAAAACAAATATATGGCCCATTTTGATCATTATTTTTCATTAAAAGTGACCAACTATCTTGCTTTAGAGTTTATTTACTTCATTCGAATTTTTTTCTTAGTCTATTTAAAATAAGGATCTGGGTAAAAACTACAATTTTCATCTTGGGGTGTCTGCATTTTATAGGACAACATCTAAACATTTCCATTTTCCAAAGGAAATACCAAAAATCACATATGTGACATGCCCATTATATTCCACAAATGAGATGTCTTAGTTGGTGATCTTTTCCAATATGGTTTTAACAAATCTACACGGACATATAAACCAATTTCAAAATACCTACATCCATTACCAGAAAAACTATACATTTAAGGAGGATGTTTTAACTAGTATTTTATTTCAACAGATGCTCAATACCCTGAATTCTGAGGCCCCATAGCTCTTTTTATAAAACAATCAAATATCCAGCCAGTACTAGTTGGGGGGTGGCTTGGGGGTGGGGTTGAGGAGTTGGAGACCACAGCTATAGACAATATATCTAGATAAGTTACTGAGTTTTTCATTTGAGTCCAGATGGTTCCTGTCATGTACACATAACCACATTTTATTACCATGTTGCTTTAGAGAAAAATTTTTAATTCTCTTTTTGTAACACCGAGTTAAAACAACAAAAACAGCACACATAACTATATACTAAGCCCAGTCTAAACCTCTCTAACAGATAAACAGCTAATGTGATAGAATTTCATTTTGTAACAAAAAGCTTCAGTTCTTCGAAAATTTACAAAGAATTGTATAGGTTTATATATCTTTAATTGGACAGCTGTTTCCTAATGGCCTTCCTCCTTAACCCATTGCAGATCTATTCAAATAATGTTGCCATGTGAATGGAACAAAAAGATACTTATATTGCAAAGGAACCTTTGGCTCAGAGGATTAGGAGAAATTCAAAATGAACCAGCAGGGGAAGAAGGGGGGAAAATGCAATTATGTTTCAATTCTCATGTATTAGAAAAACCTGTAAAAACTTTTTTTCCCCAACCACTCCAGCTAGCTACTGAGAAAGCTATGCAAGTAATTAGAAGAAAAAAAAAAATTCTCTGTTCTAATAAATACCACAAAGCCTATAATTCAGTATCTATTGGGTATTACCAAATGCTGCAATGGCACCGAGACTTTCAAAGTGCTCTAAACCTATTAACTAATATAGAGATAATAGAGTGTTATTTTCTCAAGAGAATGGCATTTCCTTTAAAGTCATTTCACTATGTATCATCATTTCAAATATAGACATTTTATTTAAATGCTATAATGCAATCCTATAAGACTACAACCTAGCTGTCTCAAGTCATTTGATGAAGGTGTAAAATAATTCTTTACTTAAGGAAAAAGAGGAAAGCAGCCGACCAACCAGGAAATGGCAATGGTTTTGCATCCTCGATGTAAACTAGACTTTTTAAATTTGGTCCTGCAAAAAAACTCATTCCTCATACGCACACAAAGAAAACCGCTGGCAGTAGGAGAGGAATGAACTGGCTCCTACTTACAAAGACGACGAGGACGCCTTCTCTGAGTTTAAACAGCATCTGATAGCAACCTACTCCATAATGACACTGGGGCACTGGACGTGCTTTTTGCAGCAATTAGGAATTAAAAGCGTGTACAGGGAGAACCTCACTCGGGGCGCTGGGGGGGGGGAAACGGCCCCGGGACCCAGGGGGAAGCGCCCACGGTCGCCTTTCAGGGCGCACTCGTGGCCTTTGCAAGGGTCTCCCGAGGCCGCGGGGAGCAGAGCCCGGGACGCAGGACCAAGCCCGCGGGGCTGGGGCGCCGGGCTGGCCGGCGCAGCCGGGGAGGCCGTCGGGGGCGAAGGTTCGAGGCTGGCGCGCCTCCAAAAGTGCTCGAGAAGACTTTAAAAGAAACTTCTTTTCAGCTTAGCAGAAAACCAGCCCAAACACTGGCCGCGGGCGCCGAGGACGAACCAAGCGAGGGGAGGCGGCGAGGGGACACTCTTGTCACTTTCTCTCCCCGGACGCGCCCGGCGTGCCCAGAGTCTGCTGCTCCTGGGGCAGGGCACCCTGCCCAGGGCGCCCGGTGGCGAGCGGGGCAGGTGTCCCCGCGCAGGGCGACCCTCCCCGCGTCCCTCTGTCCCCAGCTCGGGCCCGGGCCCGAGCCGCCCGGGGCGGGCGCAGCCGCGGCGGGCGCGCACGCCGTGGGGACAGGTGCGCCGGCCTGGCGAGCGCTTACCCCGGTGATGACCGCGGCGTGGCCGGCGCGGGGCGGCAGCAGCAGCGCGGGCAGCAGCAGCAGCAGCAGCAGCGGGCGCCGGCCGCGGCTCGCATGGGCCCGGGACCGGGCGGCCGTTGGGGACGCGGGCGCGGGCGCGGGCCGGCGCTCGGCGGGCGCGGAGCAGGGCGGGCGGCGGGCGGCTCCCGCGAGCCTGGCGGCCGTTATAAAGGCGAGCCGCGGTGAGTCACGCCGCCGCCGCCGCCGCCGGCAGCACGCGCGGGCCGGCGCGGCACACGCCCACGCCCACGCGCACACGCGCCGCCCGCCCGGCGCCACGCGGGCGGCGCCGCGCGCGCCATCCCCGGCCGCACGCGCCGCGCCCGCGCCGCCTTTGTGCTCGCCGCGCTGCCCCGCTCTCCAGGGCTCCGCGTGCTCAGCGCGGAAAACTTCCAGATCATTTGCTCCGCAGATGTTTGGGGGACGCCCGCCCCGTGCCCGAGCTGCGGCCACATACGGGCGAGATGGGGGCGGGGGACCCACGATGGCCCCCGCGCCGGCTCGTTTGTCCCGCAAGTGCGCGCCGAGCGCCCGCCCGCTGCGCGCCAGGTGCGGCCACCCCACCGGGTCTGTCCTCACGGTGGGACAAGTTGGCAGGAAAGACAGACACGGAGCATGCACGGGACGAGGAAGGCAGGGGGAGGACAAAGGCAGAGCAGAGTCACCCCGATCCCGCCTCCCCCGCGACGTGGAGGGGTCTCTCCTCCCGGCTGCGGGAGTCCTGTGTGCCTCTTTCATTTCAGACGCCCCCTCTTTCGGCTCACATCTGCTCCTGACCCTGTCCCTCCTCTCTGATTCCCCCCACGTGTCCTTCCTCCCGGGCAGCGTCGCCCCAGCCCTGGGCAGACAGTCCGGGACGCAGCCAGAGGGAAACCAGCGCGCCTGCTGTCCCGGGCCACCCTGTCACCCCTTAAGCTCTGGGTGGGCGGCTCTCTCTCTAACTCTGCAGTCCCCCCAGGAAAATCTCCAGTCTGTCTTGGAGACGCGACAGGGTGTTACTGGGATCCGTTCATTCATGCAAACCTGCAAACATGAATTGAGCCTCTACCGGGTCCCCGGCGTCCGGCGAGAGGGCAAATGACAACTGTGCCCTCCGTCTCTGACCCTAGCCTGGCTCCAAGAATCTCAGCCGGTTTCCTTGGATAGAAATGATTTCAAGAATATGTAGGTGTGACCACAGCAAACTCGCTTGCACGGACTAGTTTTAGGAAGCCCACATTTCTTCCTGAATAGCCCCAACCTCTCTAGCTTCCCTGATCCCATAAGAGCCACAAGCTGTTGAAAAGCAGATGCAAAAATCTTCCAGCCTCTTTAATAAATGCAGTCAGGAGAGTGGAGACGCAGCTACTCTCAGGCCGTGGGGCTCCCCCATGCCAAAGCATTCAGGCAAAATATGGGGGGGAGAAAGGCAGCCAATTATCTGAATGTTAAACAGCTGAATCTTTGGAAACCCAAATCTTTGCCTGATTTTTTTAAAAAAAAAAACCCTTTCCCCCAAGTATTTTCATGTTTGAGAACTGCCCTGAGACAGAAAGCACAAAAGGAATAAAACTTTTGTAACTTTAAAAAAAAATTGTTAAAAAATTGGGCTCACAGTAGAATAAGTGGAAACAGTAGCAAGTGACAGACTTGTGGAAAGTTTCCTTTTCCAGTCTCCATGCCAACACTAGCATGGGCATGCTGCCGGGTAAATGCAAAAACCAGTCAACATGGATTTTAACATTCCTATGACTTTTTTTTTTTAAAAAAAAAAAAGGTCTATTTCATATTCACTACTATTGGAATGCCAGTTTGGGTATTCCCTGCTTCTCCAAAGCACAGAAAATGTGATATGTCTACATAGGGAAAACCCAGTTTCAAAAGTGGCTGGCTTTGTACACAGCTGTTTGGAAAACAATCCTCATGAGGCTGTTTTGAAACAAGGTTGGAAGCACTTGAAAATAGGGTTGGTTTCATGTTGTTTCTTTTGGGGCCTTTAATTGTTTTAATGCTTTAGACCAGAAATGAAGACTCTTGATATACCATCTTTGTGTCCCTGGCCAAGTTAGTAGATGAAAGTCTGACTTCAGTTGTTATAAAGGGAAAGATGAAAGAATGAGTTTGGATTAGCCCATAAAAATAAATTAGGGGGAAGGCCAACCTACCAACAATGAAATAGAAATGGAGTAGTTCGTTCTATTTTATGGCGATAACCCGTTGATATTGCTACATGATCGCTTCAGCCCAGGGAAAACTGTATGAAGTGAACCAAATGTGGCGTGTTTCAGAGTGCAGGCAGATTGTCAAGGCTCAGGTTAATTGAAGGTGCAATACAAGAGAGTCAACCTCATGGGGTACAACCCCCATGGGATTTAAAGGGAATAGTATCTGCAAAGTGCTTAGCACTGTGCCTACTGGAACATACTGGAAGCCCTGATAGGGTTACCTGTTATTAAGTCTCATTGTTTGGTCTCCCCTGACAATTGCAGCCAATACCATAGAGGTCTTTCCTGTCTTGCCCACCCGATTAGATTGTTGTATACCCCTTGTGATTTGATCCTTGCGTCTCATTTTCTATATGTCCGTCTTGGCGCATAGCACAATGACAGGCATACAGCAGGTGCTCGGTGAATAATTGATGATCAACATTGCCGGAGTAGGGTGGTGCAGTAGGCTAGACTGTGCCCCCCAGAAAGCTATTTTCAAGTCCTAACCCCTGGTACCCGTGAGTGTGACATAATTTGGAATCATGGTCTTGGTAGATGGAATCAACCTTTAAGATGAGGTCGAACTGGATTAGAGTGGGTTCTAAATTCAACGGCAGGTGTCTTTATAAAAGAAAGGAGAGAGAGAGAGATTTGGATACAGACACACACACACACAGAGGAGAATGTCATATGAAGACGGAGACTGGAGTGATCTACAAGCCAAAGAACACCAAGGATTGCCAGCAACCATCAGAAGCTGAAAGAGGCAAGAAAGGATTCCTCCCTTGAGTCTTCCCAGGAAGGACAACCTTGTCGACACCTTGATTTTGGACTTCCGGCCTCCAGAGCCATGAAAGAATAAATTTCTCTTGTTTCAAGCCACTCAGTTCGGTAATTTCTTATGGAAGCCACAGAAAACTGGGATAGGTGGGTAGAGCTAGAGGTTTGTACACGGGCTTCCAAATAAATGTCTCTCCCTGGTATTGATGCCTATTGCTTTTGCTGACGTTTCAGTGACCAAATAAGTCACATGACATCTCACCTTCAAGAAGATGGACAGTGCAAGTCTGCAACTCACTATAGTTTTCTGGAGAGAAGCAGACATCTGGTGAGCAGCACCATGTTCTATACGAAAGGAGTCATTTGTGGTTTGGACTCCTTAATGAACTTTGAATGATATTAGTAATTATTATTATAAAATGATAATGTGTCATCTCCTTGGCATATTGTCTAGTTCAGTATTCTTCATGCAAGAATTATACAAAGACTCTGAAAAAGAGTAAATGTGTAAGCTGAGATTTTCTTTGAGGTGGGTAGTAAACCATCACTCATTCCATGGTGTTAACTGAGCACTTAGTATGTGCCAGGTGCTGTGTGCCTCACTGAGGGTACAGTGGCGAGCCAAACGGGTGTGAACCCTCAGCCTCTTCTTCAGGAAAAGAAGGACAGGAGCCAAGTAATCGTGCAACTGCATGATCACAGGAGACGAATGTAGGGTACGACGAGAGAGCACACGAGGAAACTCGAAGGTTTCCTTAAAGTCATGGGTCTGAGATGCCACCAGAGGGCAGCCAATGTGGCCCAAGAAATGAACCTACAGAGGAGTCTGGTACTAGAGCCAGAGGAGTGGCAGGGACCCACTGGGGGGGGGGGCTTGCATGGGCCGTGCTACAGATCTTGGTCATTATCATGGTCAGTCCTGGAAGTTCCAAGGAAAACCTAACAATGGGCAAGCATGACGTAAGCAGCTTTTACAAAGAAGACCCTCACTGCAGTGTGACTCCACATGTCCGAGTTCCAACTCCTTCTGGCCCCCCCGCCCCGAACCTCTTGTTGCAGGCAACCCCAGCCTTCCGAGGATGACCTTGAAGTCACCCTTGACCCTCTCTTTCTCTCACGCCTGATGCCCAGCCCACTGGAAATCTTGCTGGCTTTGCCTTCAAAAATACATAGAAAATACAACATACTATCATATCAATAGTAATATCATAATGGATGATAATAAAATACAAGTACATACAAAATAAAATAAAAGACTATATTAAAATGTATCTGACCGCTTTGCCCTCTGTCCTGGCCATCCTTCCTCCTCTGAGCCTCTGTCATCTCCAACCTGGGTTACGGTCACCACCGTCACCTCGTGACTTGCCTCCCAGGGTCACCCTGGCCCTTTACATCCTTATCACAGATATTTTTTAAAAATATAAGTCAGACGCTGTGCTCAAAACTCTGCAGGGGTTTCTCGATGATTCCCTCATGGAGACCTTAAGCTCTTTGGCTTGATCTATCACTACAACTACCCTTTGTCCTCCCGCCGGCTCTGCTGCAGCCACACTGGCCTTCTGGAGGTTTCTAGAACACACTGGGCATGCTCTTACCTTGGGGAACTTTGTCCTGGATCCTCACTTTGTCAGAATTGCTCTTTCCCCTAGTAGACAGCCCCATGGCTGACTCCCTCCTCTCCAGCGTTTGCTCAAACCTCTGCTTTGCAAGGAGACTTATCCCGACCATCCTAATTAAATTTGCAATGGTCCCAGCACTCCAGACCCCCTTTATTGTGCTCCTTTTTATATTTTGCTTTTTCCTATAGCACGCGAGACCTTCTAGAATATTCTATTATATATTATGTGTATCGTTTATTGCCTTGCTGCACCTGCCCTGCACATACACCAAAATCTGAGCTCCAGGAGATCAGGGATTTTTAAAAAATTTGTTCTGTTCACTGATTTATCTCCAGAACAGTGCCTGGCACATAGTAAGCACTCAATAAATATTGGTTGAACAAACTGCAAAAAAATATATAGATTGAAAGGTGGCTGAGAGCAGAGCTGATGGGAGGGCACTGCAGGGGTCCAGGTGGCTTCTGTTGCTTACCCTGGTTGGCAATAAAGAGGTAGAGAAGTGCGCTGACCCACTTAAGCAGAACTCATAGAGTTTACCATGGGTTACGTAAAGGGTGGAGTAGGAAATGCCATGATTCACTTTGCATCGCTGATTGAAGGAGGCACTGGGCTAGAGACAAAACCCTGGCCAGTTTTGCCCTAAAATTCTTTCATTTGCCCATTTCCTATGATGTAGCCACAATGGTAAAAAATTCAGATCAGGGGCTGGCAAACTGTCAGCTGTCACCTTCTGCCTGTTCCTATAAATCAAGTTTGAGTAGGGTACAGGCACACTTGTTTATAGAATGTCCGCGACTTCCTTCCCGCCGGAGGGAAGGGTCAGGTGTTTGCAAGAGAGACCCTGTGACCCGCAAAGCTGAAATTATT